TGTCCACAAGCACAAGCTCACATTCCTGTCGCACGGGTTGTCACGCTTGTAATCATATCACAGCTGTGGGTATCACTGGTCTCTCACTGCTCTGTGTGCGTGCAGTGGCCCACGGCGAATGGATGTGAGATGTGTGTTTGATGTTTGCCCATCGGTCCCGGCTGAGAGAGGAGGCACCGGGCACTCTGCTCGTGAGCAGGTGGTTGTGTGGATGCCCAGCCCTTCGGAACTGGGAGGACCAGAGCCTGGATGCTGCAGGCTTCAGTGCTGTATGCCTGGTCCCTCCTCCCACTGTTGTGTTTGGTTTCCGTAGCGTTTCAGTACAGTTTGATCATTTTTATAAACGGCCAATTTAAACAATTAACAGTACATGTGGTTAACTATATCGAAGTGAGTATATTTTGTGCTGTGGAGTGAGGTTCAGGTTAAATGGAAAAGACAGGAGACTGAGACAGTAGTGCTGTCAAGGTGCGAGCGAGGCCGAGAAGCACGACAGATGACAAAAAAAAAACAGTTGTACAACTTCTCCACATGCTTCAGAAACCGCCTGGTTCGCAGCAGCCCTAAATAGCGGTGTAGTATCTTTTTAAATATGGAGCGCGGTGCAATGATGCAGGGGATGCTCTAGCAGGGAAGATTTAAATGTTTTTTTTTTTCACGTTCTATACTTCTGTGATGCTCAGGGACGTACAGGCTCAACAGCGTCACGAATCACGTCAGCAAGCATCCCGGGACATAAAAAAGCTTGCAAATTAAGTGCGTCACGACTCCCCTGCCTCACCGTAGGAACAGCTCGCGATCTATTGTCGTGACTTTACAAGGGAAGATACGAGTAACTGCAGATCTTGCACCCGAAGCGTAGTCCTCTGATATAATCATAGGTCGTGCAGATTTCCTCGAACAGTCGTACTGAGAGTCTTCTCTGCTACGTGTTCGGAAGGGCAATTACTAAGATAACCCTGCAGGGGCCCAGGAATACACTCTGCAGGGATGCAGCACGCACAAAACTCGGATCTCCCCCTCCCTGTGCTATGAGAGACGCAGTGGAAAGCACAACAGATGCTGTCCGAAACCAGTTACACTTCAAACGTCTGCCACACGGTGGCGGTGAACCCTAATCGAAATAAATTCGAGTGCCACATCATAACAAGTTCGGTTCTGTTGTCACAAATATATACGATACTT